TGTGAGTTCTGTGTGGCCACTGCAGTGAATTATCGAACCCAGGAGAGAGGTGGTGGGTGCCTTGGGAGGAACGGTTGGGGAAAGGGCTGGAGGGAGGCAGCATGTCTGGCCTTGCAGTAATAGGCCTTGGGTTACTGCTGGTAATCCTGCCTTCCCCTTGTAGGGTTAGAGGAGGTCAGAACATGTGGCCTCCTTGCCGTTTTTGCAAGCACATAACAACAACAACAACAACATAATTTGTTTTGCCTCAATAATGCCCAAAATGAGGTGTTGAGCATTATACCTTTCCAATGACAAAAATCTAATTCTAAAATTTCAAAGGCCCTAAGGCAGTAAGAACACAAACAAAAGAAAACAGAAAGCCTCTCAGCTGGACCAATAAGCAACATCATGATAAAGAGAGAAAACATTAAAGTTACCAAAGACTTCATTTAGCTGGATCCACAACCAACGGCCATGGAAGCAGCAGTCCAGGATCGAACGACATACTGCAGTGGGCAAATCTGCTGCAAAAGGCCCCTTTGAAGTGTTAAAAAGCAAAGACGGTACATTTTGAGGACTAAGGTCCGCCTGAGCCAAGCCATGGATTTCAATACTTCACACGCAGGTGAAAGCTGGGCAATGACTAAGGAAGACAAGAGAAGAACTGATGCATCTGAATTGCAATGCTGGCAAAGAATGGTGAACAGACCACGGACTGCCAGAGCAATGAACAAACCTGTCTTGGAAGAAGTGAAGCCAGAATGCTCCTGAGAAGCGAGCACGGTGAGACTTCACCTCACGTACTTTGAACACGTTACTGGAAAAGTAGAGGGTTGGCAAAAAAGAGGAAGACGCTAACGGCATGGCCTGAGACTGGCTGCAACAGTGGGCTCAAGCACACGGCTCTGAGGGTGACACGGGACCAGGCAGTGTTCTGTTCCCGTCATCCGTAGGGTCACTACGAGTCAGGACCGACTCGACAGCACTTAACAACGAGGTGGTAAGAAGAGATGGAGCCTCTTTAAAATATCTGTAGTTAGGGACAAAATAATAAAGCTACTATTTCAGGCTCTATAAACTTAGGGGCTCTGGTGGCATAGTGCCTAAGGCATCTGACTGCTAACCAGAAGGCTGGCGGTCCAAACCCACCAGCCATTCCTCAGAAGGAAGACTGGGCAATCTACTTCCATAGAGATACTGCCTCGAAAGGCAAGGAGGGGTCGCTGTGAGTTGGCAACAACTCATTTAAAGAGACGTGATTGGTGCATCTAAAGCCAGGTCATGAGCTATATAAATCTGGGTTCCATTTTCTAGCTTTCCCGGTAATTTGTAGTGCCCAGGGGTACAGTGACTCCAGCAAAGAGAAAAGCATCCACACAACATGACTGGATTACCTGGTTTAGGAACGGTGTGGGCTTTCACTGAATGTGACGGTTCACCAGAGCCCAACTTCTCTTCTGTATGTTGTGACTGAATTAAGTCCCTGGGTTCTTCCTTTGCGTTTTTTCCTTTCTCCTTCTCTTCACTCTCTAGGCTCTGTTTCAGGTCATCACTTAGCGTTGTGAGGTCACACTGTATGTCCAATTTATTTATTAACGCAAAGTCACCCGCAACAGCATCCTCCACTAGGGAATCCATGGGCTCGTCTACAAATCAGAAGAAATGAAAGCCCATCAGCCAGGTGATCTGACACAGATATTACAGGGGAAAAAAGGCCCCTTCATGTGCGCAGCAGAGACTGCCATGGGTCCACCAAATCCACTGTCCCGTCTTCCAAAGTCATGGTGCTGTAATGAGACTATGGCCCTCCAGCAGGGGACTGCATTCCCAGATGCTCAGCAACTTGTGAGTAAGCTCCTGCCAATGGAACGTGAACAAATACATTATGTCCAATGCTGCCTCACTTGCTTTAAAGGACATTTGTGGCCCTGGATTTCCACCCCGTGCCCTCCTCACTGGATGCAATAGTAAAAACCAGAGGGACCTCAGAAACCAAACATGAAGAAGGTCCCAGAATGGCTGAGGCCACCTGGAACACCTGTGGTAGACTCTGCGTGAGGAATGAAACACACTTCTGTCATTTTCGAGTCATCGCGTTTTGGCATCTCTTTATCAGTTATTTTTAACCTTTCATCCTAATGGGTGTATCACTCTTAAATCCCGCACACAAATAACTCAGAAGTTCATACCAAGCCAAATAAAGAACCCTCTCAAAATGTCACTGCTACTGAGTCAACTGTGACTCACAGTGACCCTACAGGACAGAGCAGAACTGCCCCCTAAGGTTTCCAAGGCTGTCATCTTCACAGAAGCAGACTGCCGCACCTTTCTACCCTGGGGTGCCCCATAGGTTTGAACCGCCAACCTCTGGCTAGCAGCCAAGCACTTAACCACTACACCACCAGGGCTCCTTAAAGAACCAACCTCAGGATGAAATATAAAAGCTATATAAAAAGAAAAGCAATCATCAATTTACAAATAGGCATTACTCTCAAAGCTTGTTTGTGAATCAATTTTTAGAACTCAGAACATGATTCCCAACTACCCCTCCCCCAAAACAGGTCACACTGATCAGCCAACAGAGGCCTACTAAGCATTAAGGTGACAGACCAACAGCAGCCATCAGAGCTGCACCAAAATTCTAATGTTTCCAATGCTCCCGCTGCCCTGAACCTCTCTGGCCCAAGTCCTCGGGCTCCTTGCTGCCCCAGCTCTGCCAAGTTTGCTCCAAGTCCCCCTGAGCACTGACTCAGCAAGGCCAGTGCCTGTGTGCAGAGGGCGGCTCATCTTATTGACCACGATCTCTCCAGTGCTGAGAACAGGGACTAGGACTTCGTAGGCACTCACAACACACTGGCTGAATGCATTACTGAGTGAGACTGGGAAGGGCATTCCCAGTATTAGGCAGTTGCTAAGGCTCTGGTGGCGTAGTGCCTAAGACGCTTGACTGCTAACCAGAAGGCTGGTAGTTCAAACCCACCAGCCACTCTTTGGAAGGAAGGTTGGCAATCTACTTCCGTAGTGATACTGCCTCGGAAACCCAAGGAGGGGTCGCTATGAGTCGGGTCTGACAGGACAGCACATAACAACAACAACAACAAAGGCAGCAGTGAGAAAGTGAGAAGAATGGGTGGCACTCAATTCCTGTGTGGATGTGTTAGGCACTGTCCATCAAAACCAAACTTGTTGGCATCAAGTCAGTTTCAACTCACAGCAACCCTACAAGGATAAAGTAGAAATGCCTATGAGAAAACTAAAAAAAAAAGTTAAAAAAAAACCCTAAATCTGTAACTAAAGTTAATTAAGAGCTACCAATTATCTTTTAGGAAATTCACTTACAATTTAAAATATATCAGAGAAAGAAAGAGTATTTCAGGCAACATAATTTACGAAAAGTAAGGCCCTACCCAAACACAGAAGCGTGTCTATCACTCAGCTCTAGAAGGGAGTGTACAATCTTGAATCAGCAGCATCTAATCATCAGGTAATAATGCCACTTTTTACTCATCCCATAAGGACAGTATCAGGATAGAGTAAAATAATAGTTCTCAGAGTGTTTTGAAAACTAAAATGTCAGTAACCTCCTGGCAATCACAGCACTTTTCAAATGGTCTTCAATCTTCTCCCCAAGCTAGACATTCTCACACATCTGGTCCCTCAGTCCTGGCATTGAGGACCAGTGGCAATCGTAAAGAGAGAGCCAATAGTCACAGCTGTCATCATCATGGCAGTGCACGGTGTGGCAGTGACCCCTTTCTCTAACTGAGAAAATGACTGTGAGTGAGCACTTTGGAAAGATACATCAACTTAAAGTAAATAGGTTTTAGACCCCATCTCTTCTTACCTTCACAATGTCCTTTGGAAATCTCCCCTTTGGCCAGAAATTTCAACATCTTTTTCAAAACCTTCTTGTGAGATTTTGAGGGCTGAAACTGCAAAGGTCGGCACCTATGAACACAGAATAAATAAATAAAAAGTGAACTCAAACTCTGAAGAAATCAAATCAATCCTAGTTCATATCTGGCACAAGGAGGCAAATCGTATGGCTGGGATCTGGTTATAGGGGAGCTAACAGAGCCTCTAAGCTCTTTCCAAACCTTACAGCTGGGATATGGTTATGGAGGGGCTAACAGAGCCTCTAAGCTCTTTCCAAACCTTACAGCTGGGATTTCTGATTATGGGGGGCTAACAGAGCCTCTAAGCTCTTTTCGAACCTCACTAAAATCATAGTGAAGGGACTTCAAAATGGGCAGAAACTCACAAGCACCAACAGATGGGAGAGACTTTGGAAGCCAGAAAGCGGATGTACAAGTAGTTAACTGATTTAGCTGACCAATGGAAGTTGAATCCTAAGTCAACAGTGGGAAAAGTCTAAAAAGATACCCAATTTTCTCTCCATTACTCCTAAAAACCTGAGGGATTGGTGATGCCTCATGCTTTAGGATTAAAGGTAGATCTAAAACTAGGAGAGATACCCTGAAAGTCTGTTTCCAAAGCACTTAGTGCCAGATCCCTCCCCCAACTCTGCAGCACCAGATGACTGTCCCTACAAAATGGCAGAAAATTGCAAACTTTCAAAAAAGAGTGAAAAATAGGGCCTCTTACATGGAGGATACAAGGCACAGGTGAAGACAACAGTGCTGTGCTGGCGAGAAGAAGTGGGAACGAAAGCCTATATGCTGAATGTTGAGGCACCCCAGTCCTCTTTTCCAACCCAGGCCCAGACACCGACAGAAAGGATACTACTTTCTCTCCAAATTGTGATCAGACCTAAAAATGTTGGTAACAGGAATTCTCCAAGAGAAAAGCGCAACCAGACCACCCTTTCCGAAGCCCACGTAAACCAGCACCACTCAGAGGAACAGAGTGTTGGAAAGTAAGACTCATCAGATCCTAGAAGAAGGCCTCCACTACAGACAGATGCCAAACAAACTGGAGGAAGAAATTTGGGGTATACAAATTAAAAAAAAGCTATTAGAGCTATTAAGAGCCATAAATTAAGCTATTAGAGCCATAAAATAGCAAGATGTTACAAAAAAAAAAAAAGAGCTCTCAGAAGATATATTAGAAGAAATTTAAAAACTAAAGAGTTGAACAAGGAAGTTAAGGAAATCACTCTGAAATTCACAAAAAGAAATGGAAAACTGGAGAGAGAAAAAAAAAAAAATTAGCAGACTGATCAAAAAGGTCCGACATCTGAATTAAAGATCTACAGAAGACCAACAAAATAAATCCAGAAACTCTCTCTGCACTGAAGGATACGATGGGATAAGAAGTGCCGCTTGAGTCCACAGATAATGGATGAAAAGACCACAGCAAAACATATCATGAAATATGAGAACACTGAGGAAAAGGAGAAGATCCTAAAAAAGCTTCCAAAGAGAAAGAACAGGTTTCAGACAAAGGAACAAGAATCAGAATGCCACTGGAGTTTGCAACCATAACACAACAATGGAGCAAAGCCTTCAAAATCCTGACAGGACCTTCCCCACCTATGCTTCCATACCCAGCTAAACTATACATTAATTTTGAGCATTCAATTAAACCATGTTCAGATACTCAAAAATCCTGACCTCTCAGGCACATATTCTCAGGAAGGTATTAGGCACATGTCACTAAAACAAGAAGTCATCCAAGAAGGAAGGCAAAGGACACAGGAGACAAGGGACCAACAAAGATAGTCCCCAAGAGGACAATGAAGAGTTCCAGCAGGACAGTGATGAGTCATGTGGATAGAGCAACCTGTCCAGACTGGAGCAGGTCAGAGGCGCCAAGAGGAAATATTTTTATTCAAGATCAAACTGACAGAGCACTGTATTCATCTGAACACATTAAGAGGAAACACACACAACCACGGTAGGGGGTGGGGATGCAGGAAACCCAGAAGACTATGAATAATTAAGAAAACACTTAGTAGGAAAATACGATTTTTTAATTTAAACTTTCCATTTAAGAAAACTAGACTCTGAGCATATATAGCAGGTAAGTTTAAAGCCGTCTCCTCTGCTTACTGAGAATAGGATCTTGCACTATTTCTTGAACAAAAGCCCAGGATCAAGCAATACACTAGAATATGGAAAACCTTAAGCTAAATTCTGGAAAAACAAAACCTGTATCTGAAAATAGTTTAAATATTTACCAATATTTACCAATGTTCTCATGATACTCATTGACAGAATTCTTAAAAGGATGTTTTTATGTCATATTTGTGTCTAAATCTATTAAACAGTTTTGTTAAAAGCTATCTATCAGAACATGAATACAGCATCAGCATGTAGTAAAGTATGGTGAAAAGATACAACGCTGACACGTTCCCTTCCTAATTTTAAACCATGCACTATCCCTTTGTTCCATTCATGCCCAGCCTCCTGGGTTATATCCTTATACCACACTTATTCGATCTGTAAGCTAAGCAAATAATCTGAAAAGCTGGACTATACGTAGAAGAACGTAGCAGGAGGACTGGAGGAAGACTTATTAACAACCCATGATATGCAGATGACACAACCTTGCCTGCTGAAAATGAAGATGACTTGAAGCATTTACTGATGAAGGTTAAAGGCTACAGTCTGCAGTATGGTTTATATCTCACCATAAAAAGAAACAAAAATCCTCACAACTGGACCAATAAGACTGACGTTGTCAAAAATTTCATATTACTTGGATCCACAATCAACACCAATGGAAGCAGCAATCAAGAAACTAGACGATGTGTTACACTGGGCAAATCTTCAAAAGACCTCTTTGAAGTACTGAAGAGCAGAGATGTCTCTTTGAAAACTAAAGTGGCTCTTAATCCAAGCTATGGTATATTCTGTAGCCTCATATGCATATGAAAGCTGGACAATGAAGAAGAAGACCAAAGAAGAGTTGATGCTTTTCACTTGTTGTACTGGAGAAGAACACTGAAAGTACCATGGACTGCCAGAAGAACAAACAAATCTATCCTGGAAGAAGTGCAGCCAGAATGCTCCTTGGAAGCAAGAATGGCCAGACTTCGTCTGCATCACCCCACTTTGATCATGTGGTCAGATAGGACCATTCCCTGGAGAAGGATATCATGCTCGGTAAGGTGGAGAGTCAGCAAAAAAGGGGAAGGCCCTCAGAAAGACTGACTGAAACAATGGCTGCAATGATGGGCTCATGTATAGCAAGTATTGTGAGGCTGGTGCAGGACCAGGCAGTGTTTTGTTCTATTGTGCATAGGTTGCTATGAGTGGGAGCTGACTCAACAGCACCTAACAACAACAACAACATGTAGAAAAGACATGACACACTGTGCCTGGTAAAGAATGTCTACCTTCAGTGGAAATAAATATTTTAAAAAAAGGTTCCACAAAAAATTTACAATCTTCATAGTCTAGATCTTCTTTGTATTAATTGAAACACCAAGTACTCACCTTATTGTATACTGAGGACAACATGTTTGATTCATGACAGGTTTGTACACGTATTTCCCGCTTCTAAAATTGTAAAAGAATAGTTAATTTCTGACCATATGCACCAATGTACATTAATACAGGAGCACTAATATCTAATTAATAGTGTAAAAAATTTTAAGTTAAATTTAAGTGAAATGATCTTCTAAGTAGGTACACCAGGGACCAGACACAGCCTTTCCTGACTACATCTTCACGCCTGTACTCAGTTCTACCCCATCCTGAAGGGTCACTATGAGTCAGAATCAACTTGACAGCAACAGATTTGGTTTGGTTTATTGCCACTGCCAGTGTCAAGGACACCAGTCCCCACCATCTCCCATCTGGATAGTGCCATGAGCTCTAGAGCTCCTCTTCCTGCCTCCAGGATCCCCCCTCAGATACCTTACTACTGTCCATTTCACCTTTCGCTCCTTCAGTGGCTCCCCTCTACCTTAAAAAGAAGTTCCATATCATGGCATACAAAGTTCTTCAACATCTGACCAATATCCACCTTGTAGACTTCAAGGTAAACTGAAAGAAGCTGTAAAGCTTCATTGGCTATGTTCAATGTCATGTGTTTGAAGAGTTTTGGCCTAGGGTACTGAGCCTGCTTACATGCACAGAAGGAACAAGGCCGTTTTGAGACAATAAGGAAAATCTCATCAACTGGGTAACAGGTGACATCAAGGAATTATTCATTTAGTAAGGTATGATATGGTCATATAGTTATGTTAAGTCTTTTACTCAGAAACCAGGGAGTGTGGCCAACAGCCAGAATCTGGAAATCAGGACTATGGCCCAGATGATCTCAGAGAACAGAGGAATATTTCCAAGCTTTGACAGCTAAAGTAGATTGTTGTGCAGGGGTTGGACTGGCTTAGTGCCCATTCACCCTTCTTTCCCTCCAACTTCTCCTGTCTGCAATGGAAATGGCTACTTGGTGCCCATTCCAGCCATGAACTTTGAAAGCAGACTAACTGTCTCCTAGATTTCACAGGTCCACAGATTAAGAAGACTTTTGCCCCAAGATTGAAAACACATAAAGTTTCACCCATGTTTGATTTAGATGATTCAGAAGATGAGATTTGAGACTGGAATTTGATCTAAGACTTATGGGGTGATGCAATGGGTCCATGTGGGAAGGACATGGATTTCTATGGGCCAGAGGTTGGAACTGAAGGATTAAAATGTGTCTCCTGAATATTTATTATGAGCTATTGATAGGGTGTCTGGAATTTACTGTAAAGTACTTTGGGGGCAGAGTGGGGAGGAAAGGAGAGCAAAGAGAATTGATGAGCCAAGACTGGCAAAACGTTGATCCCTAGAGAAGCTGAGTGATGGGTTCAGGAGGGTCATCAGAACGTACTCTCTACTTCTGCACACATTTGAAATTTCCCTAATAAACATTTTCTTACAAGAGAGATAAGAAAATCATTTAAAAATCTTGTTTTTTTCGTTTTCCACACATATTAACTCTCTTGACTTTTACATGTTTATAGCATAGTCTTGAACTTTAGAAAAAGAACAAATATTTGAAAGGCAAGCTACTTTTTCAATGTTAAGAGGCAGCTGAGTAGTCGCGGCAAGCATTCGCGTAAGATCTTTACCTTCGCCATCCTCGGTCTATAAGAGCCTGATAATCCTGTGCCATCAGGGAATGGGCCCACATGCCTGAAAAAGGAAGTGGAGTGTCAATTATATCAGGTTGAACTTTTCTCGTTTTTAAATTCAAAGCATTATTTTACTAAACGTAAATATTTCGGACATAGAACACCAACATTGGAGAAATTCAAGGCTGTGCCTACTTCACCACTGGTTAGTTGGACATGGTGGAGCAGTGGTTAAGCACTCAGCTGCTAACTGAAAGGTCAGGAGTTCAAATCCACCAGCTACTCCTCAGAAGAAAGATGTGGCAGTCTGCTGCCATAAAGATTTATAGCCTTGGAAACCCTATGGAGCAAATCTACTGTGTTCAATAGGGTCACTATGAGCTGGAAGTGATGTGAAGGCAATAGTTTATCTTATTTAAAAAACTGAACACAACAAAGTGATTACATTTAGTTCAGAATAAGTCAATAGTTTCCAAACATCATTTAGATCCTCGTTGCCATTGTAGGTCTCACCTTAAAACTCTGGTAAGATCCCCAGTAATTTACCCGGTTGGTCTCTGCAGAAGAGGAAGGCAGACGTTCTTTCCTATGTATTAATGTTTGTGATTTTCATACATGTTTACAGCACAGTCTTAAACTTTGAAAAAGGACAAAAGTGTATAGCAATAGTCTTTCAAAATGTGAAAATTGAAAGTAGGCTTAACTGCCCAGGAACCTGAAAATGGTTACAGTATGATGAAATAATTATTCAACCATGAAAAAAATGAAGACCAAGAGAAAATATTAAAAGGTACATTAAATTAATGCTAAATGAGAAACAGAAAATAATTTTATAATTAGTGAACTGCATCAGAGGTAGCAGAGAAAGCAGGATGCAATGAAAAGGGACTGGGCCCTGGAGGCCACCGGAAATAACCTCAACTCTGGTGGGTGCTCATTAACTCCAGTAACTTACTCCGTGAGACCCCAAAGACAAACCCACCAACCCACTGCCATCAAGTTGATTCCCACACCTAGCAACCCCCACTGGGCCTCCAAGGTGTAAATCTTTATGAAAGTAGATTGCTTCATCTTCCTCCCGAAAAGCAGGTGGTAGCTTTGAAGGCATTAGTGAGCTGTAAAGGACTGGGACTGACCATTTTGAATCAGACAATCACACAGTCTACTATGCTCAGACCGACAAATTAAATGGCATGCATTACTCATCAAAAAGAACATTTCAAGATCTATCCTGAAGGACAATGCTTATTAGGGACAGGATGATATTCATATGCCTACAGGAAGATTAGCATAGTACCTAAGGCACCTGACTGCTAACCAGAAGGCTGACGGTTCAAACCTACCCACCACTCCTTGGAAGGAAGGTTGGGCAATCTACTTCCTTAGTGATACCACCTCAGAAACCCAAGGAGGGGTCACTATGAGTCAGGTCTGACTCAATGGCACATAACAACAACACAACACTATTAAAATTTAAGGACCAACCAATAAGGCCAAAGATGAAGAATATTAAGATTTTTACCAACTTCAGTGGTCTGAAGCTGATAAAACATGCACTTGAGGTGCATTGATCATTACTGGTGATTGGAATGCAAAAGTTGGAAACAAACAAGGACTGGCAGTTGGAAAATATGGCCTTGGAGCTAGAAATGACACTAGACATCATATGACAGAATTCTGCAACATGAACAACCTGTTCATTTGTTGCAAAATACCTTTTTCAAAACATAAATGGGACTATACATGTGGACCTCACCAAACAGAATATACAGAAATCAAGCAAACTATATCTGTGGAAAGAGACAATAGGGAAGCTTAATTTCATCAGTCAGAACAAGACCAGAGGCCTTCTGCAGAACAAGCATTGCTCATATGCAAGTTCAAGTTGAAGCTGAAGAATATTAAGAGAGTCCACAAGAGCCAAAATACAACTTTGAGTGTATTCCACCTGAATTTAGAGACCATGTCAATAAAGGATTTGATGCACTGAACTAATGAGTGAAGACCAGAGAAGCTGTGGGCTAACATCAAGGACATCATACATGAAGAATGGTCATTCAAAAGACAGAAAAGAAAAAAAAAGTGCAAAATGGATGTCAGAAGCGACTCTGAAACATGCTCTTGAACACAGAATAGCTAAACCTCATGGAAGAAATGATGAACAAACAGACCTGAACAAAAGTTTTCAAAGTATTATGAAATGTACACAGTCCTGGAGTTAGAAAACCAAAAAGGAAGAACACACTCAGTATTTCTTAAGCTGAAAGAACTTAAGAAACAATTGAACCCTTGAGTTGCAATACTAAAGGATTCTACAGACAAAATACTGAATGACGCAGGAAGCAGCAAAAGAAGATGGAAGGAATACACCAAAAAGAATTATTTGACATTCAACCATTTCAGGAGGCAGCATATGATCAAGAATTGGTAATGTTAAAGGAAGAAGTCTAAGCTGCACTGAGGGCACTGGCAAAAAAACAAGTCTCCAGGAATTGATAGGGTACCAGTTGAGATGTTTCAGCAAACAGATGCAATGCTGGAAGTGCTCACTCATCTATGCCAAGAAATTTGGAAGTCAGCTACCTGGCCAACCAACTGGAAGAGATCCACATTTGTGTCTATTTCGAAGAAAGATGATCCAAGAGAGTGTGGAAATTATCAAACAATATAATTAATAAATATCACAAGCAAGTTTGCTGAACATAATTCAAAAATGGTTAGAGCACAAGTAGTTGAACCTGTGGGCTCAGGACCATAGTTGTAGGGGACATCAAGTTCAAATGGCATAACATACTACACAAAACATTGTTCCACCTCCTTCTTTGGCGAGTAGTGACTGGGATCTTAAAAGCTTACAAGCAGCCATCTAGATGCAACAATGGGTCTCTCCTCGTCCAGAGCAAAGAAGAATGAAGAAAACCAAAAATTCATGGAAACAATTAGTCCTAGTGACTGATACACCATGCGATCTGCAGCCTATATGACTATGAGACCAGAAGAACTAGATGGTGCCTGGCTACCACTGTCAACCACTTGAAGGGGGATCTATGCAGATCTTGGATAGAGAGGGAGAACAATGTGGAACAAAACTCAAAATCATTTGGAGAAAAAAAAATGGGGGATCAGGTGTGCTGGTCCAATAGAGCCTGGTGGAACCACTGAGACTATGGCCCCTAGCTGTCCTTCGGGTCTGGAATTGAACACACACCTGTGGCTTTCAGCCAAACAATAGACAGGCATATGAGTTGAACACTTTTCTGAGGTAGATACACTCCTTGGAGAGAATAATCACGGGAGAAAGAAGGGCATGCACAGGGAAACAGCTCAGGGGGCAGGAGTGCATGGAGGGATGGACACGGAAGAGGTAACTATCAGGAGGAAGTGGGTGGGGAGCTGTTGCATTGTGGTAAATTGTAGTCAATGTCATGAGACAAAGTGTATGTGAACTGCTGTATGGAAAGTGAATTTGCTCTGTAAATTTTCACCCAAATCACAATTAAAAACAAAAAAATGGTTATAGCAGTATATCAACAGGGAAATGCCAGAAATTCAAGCTAGATTCAAAAGAGGACCTGGAATGAAGGATATTATCGCTGGTATCAAACGGATCTTGGCTTAAGGCAAAGAATTCCAGAAAGATGTTTCCCTGTGCTTTATTTACTATGCAAAGCCATTTGTTATGATCATACTGGAAGAGATCCACATTTGTGTCTATTTCAAAGAAAGATGATCCAAGAGAGTGTGGAAATTATCAAACAATATAATTGTATTATATGTAATAAATATATGATCACAACAAATTATGGATAACATTTTGAAGAATGGGAATTCCAGAACATTTCATTGTGCTCATGTGGAACCTGTACACAGACCAAGAACAGAACAGAAGACACTGTGTGATTTCAAATCAGGAACGGAGTGTATCAAGGTTGCATCCTTTCACCATGCTTATTCAGTCTATATACTAAGCAAATAACCTGAGAAGCTAGACTACATGAGGAAGAACATGTCATGAGAATTAGAGGAAGACTTATTAACAACCTGTGATATGCAGATGACACAAACTTGCTTGCTAAAAGTGAAGAAGACTTGAAGCACTTCCTGATGAAGATCAAAGCACAGATCAATCCTTCAGTATAGATTATATCTCATCATAAAGAAAACAAAAATCCTCCCAACTAGTCCAATAAACAGCCTCACGATAAACAGAGAAAAGACTGACGTTGTCAAGGATTTCATTTTACTTAGATCCACAATCTATGCCCATGGAAGCAGCAGTCAAGAAATCAAATGGCTTACTGCATCGGACAAATCTGCTGCAAAAGACCTCTTTAAAGTGTTAAAAAGCAAAGATGCTACTTTGAGGTCTAAGGTGCTCCTGACCAAGCCATTGTATTTTCAGTCACCTCATGCACACAAACTGGACAGCAGTGGATAAGGAAAACTGAAGAAGAATCGACACCTCTGAATTATGGCGTCAGTGAAGAATGTTGAATATACCATGGACTGCCAGGAGAACAAACAAATCTGTCTTGGAAGAAGTACAGCCAGAATGCTCCTTAGAAGTGAGTATGGAGAAACTTTGTCTCGTGTGCTTTGGACATGTTATCAGAAGGCACCAGCCCCTGGAAAAGGACATCACGCTTGGTACAGCGGACGATCAGCAGAAAAGAGGAAGATCCTCAATGAGAAGGACTGATACGTGGCTGCAACAACGCTAACCCTATAAGCACATGCCATTGTCCTCAATGAGAAGGACTGATACGTGGCTGCAGCAACGCTAACCCTATAAGCACATGCCGTTGTCCTCAATGAGAAGGACTGATACGTGGCTGCAGCAATGCTAACCCTATAAGCACATGCCGTTGTGTATCTTGTTTGCTGTTAGACCCCGCACTGTAAGCTTTTCCCTATTAGCTGGTCCTCACAATCATCATAATGGCTGCAATTACATCCCATTCCCTCTGCCCACAGAAACACCACGTAAGTAAGTTTAATGAGCAGGCAAACCGCCACATCACAGCCCGTCAAGCCGCTCTGCTACTGCAGGGCACTTGTAAATTTTCTGAAAATGAAAGCTACCTAAATATACATCTCCATGGCTACCTCGTTTCCCACCATTCTGGATTATTCCACGAAAACACTAGGTTTTTCATTCTTCATGTGCCAGTGCATGCCAAGGCAGGAAATAAACATGGTGTTTTGTTTACAAACATCAATTCTTACCCCCAAAAAACTGAATGATGGGAAAAACCAAAAGCAAACATAGGTAGGCTGGCTTTGTTGCTGTCGGGGTGGGCGGGAACAATGATATGGAATACGAATAACCCACGGCCAGCGAGCTGATTCCGACCCACTGCGACCCCCACTGGGCTCCCTAGGCGGTCAGTCTTTATGGAAGCAGGCTGCCCAGTCCTCCTTCCGCGGAGGGGCTGGCGGGCTTGAACAGCAAACCCTCTGGCTAGCAGTCAAATGCCTTAGGTGGGAAATACACCTGGGGAAATTTTCAAACAGATCAAGACAAACAAGGCCCCCTCGCCAGCAGCGACCACGGTCACCAGTTTCGCGTTCAGAGACATTTTATGCGTCAGTCACGCATGTATGTGCACAACACGTATGTGCGCACACTCACACCCTTTTCTACGCAGCAGCACCCCAACCCTGTCCTGCACCCCCGTTTAGGGGATCCTCCATCACCCCTTACAGGTCGGCCTCGGGGTAAAAAAACTATAGTACTCCTTGCCACGCGCATGTTAGCATTTATTTAAACCGGCTCCACTGATCGGCATCAGTGTCCAGACGTTTTTTCCTACGCTACAATCACGGTGTCGTACGTCCAAGCAGCAGGTGGGTTCTCCTGAATAAGCAACCAGAAGCGTCCCTGCTGAATGCGAGGAGAGGTCCGTTTTTCGTGGCACAGCCTCGGCCCTCCGCAGGGTGCCTCGGCCCTCCGCAGGGTGCCCTGTCCGCAGTCCCTCCACCCCGGCAGGCCAGCGCGCACCCCTCGAGAGGTCCGCCCTGGCCGGGTCGCCGCGACCCCCGAGCAGCCAGCTGAGACCCGCAGAGCCCCCCACGCCTGCCGGCCCGGCTGGCTCACCATTGGAGCGACTACCCGACTCGTTCTTGCAGTATCCGCAGCGGTAGAAGTCCTCGCCCTCGAAATACTCCACAATGCTGGGCGAGAGCGCAGCCCAGGAAGAAGCCATGGCCTCAGCCACCACGGCTCGGCCGCCGGGCCTAACGCCGCAGCCCCGCCGCCACCCCACAATGCACCGCGCCGCCCGGGGCCCAGAGGCTCGCGCGAAGCCACTCGATGCCCGCAGGCCCGGCCGCGCGGGCAACCGCTAGGGCCGACGCCACTGGCGCCATCTTAGCCGAGGGCAGCAGTCCGCTATTTCCGTTCCTTCTCCGCGAGTGACCTCCATCTTCAGTTAGGGTGAGGCGGAGAGAGCGGGCGTGAAAGGAAAGCATCTGGGAAGAAGCAAGCGGGAAGTAGAGGGAGTGAAGCAGTGGGGCCTAGTTTCGCCGGCCAGGTGCGGCTGGCCCGCGGCGGGCGCATGAGAGCTCGGGCGCGAGGCGGCCACGCTGCGACGTGAACACTCACCGCAGGACGCCTTGCCCTCCTTGGAGTCGCAGTAGCCGCAATGGTAGCTGTTTTTGAGGCCCTTGTACTCCACCACCGAGGCCATGGCCGCTGGGGTCCGCGCGGGCCGGCCACGCCTCTCGTCGCCCCGGGGCGCCCTCGTCCGACTGCGGGGCCCGCGGTGAGGCGGGGGAGAGCGAGGCCGGCGCGGCGGGACCCAGCGCCCTGGCTCCGCACCTGGAGCACCTTCTCGGATTGGGGGACCAGGCAGTCCGACAGGGGCAGCCTGGAACGGTAGTGGGGCCGATAGTCGTGCCCCCAAGCCCAAGTTTGCCCAGCCCTTGGCACGCCTCATTGCCAGTCCTTCCCACACCTGCGCCTTATCAGCCCCATTTTACAGGTAGCGCTGGTGGCGTGGTGCCTAAGGTACTTGACTGCTAACCAGAAGGCTGGCGGTTCAAACCCACCAGCCACTCCTCGGAAGGAAGATGGGGCAATCTACTTCTGTAGTGATACTGCCTGGGAAACCCAAGGAGGTGTCACTGTGAGTCAGGTTCGACTGGAGGGCACATAACAACAACAAAGTCACCCTTTAAGTCAGATAACAGTTAAAGAACATTTTGCCTTCGACTTGTGCTCTTTTTAAAGAATCATCTACCACACTTCCAAAGACAGACACTCCAGATTGGAGCTGTGTTTCCGGATAAATCAGTAATTGTCTCAGTTGTTCTTCAGTAGAATGTGGTAGGCCCACAGATTGTTCTGGCTCTTTTTCCATGGCAAGATACTAATACTAGCAAAAAGCTGCACTATTTAGAATCTGTAATCAAAAGTTTTGTTTTGTTTTTTTTTAAACATTTTTTGCTCTGGTCAGAAATGTTGCCCCAATTTGCAAATCATATAAATAACTTGGCTTAAAATTGCTTTTCTTTAGACAGTGGTAAGGAGAGCTTCTTGTAAACCAGCAGGCACACAGGTGAATACCCACAGAGGTGTTAAGTACCCACACCTTCAAGTGTTCTGTGAATCGTGAGTTTTGGGGAACTGAAGAGCCCATGTCACCTTTAAAGGAAATATCTCTCATCCTAAGCCAGTTGCCATCATAGATGCCAGAATGAACCCAGTGTTGTGCGCTCAAATTTTTTTAAAAGAGAAGCTGGAAATCTAGACTTTTTTCAGGTAAAATTGTAGAAAGTTAGTTCAGAAAAGTTTTCAAAACTTTACATGGCATGGCAAATACGTATGCAGGCTGAATTCAGCCCCTGGCCTCCAGTTTGCAGCCACCATTGTGAAAAAGATTTCTTTGGAAATAGAGGCTGGGCAAAGCATCAAATGAATACTTCCAACACGGTGTTCTTCAATCTTTCCCGCTGTGCACAGATCGCTTAAGCCTGTCCTCTTGTATTTCCCCATTGGCAATGTTTTTTTGCAATGTTTTTGGAAAAAAAGTGAAATCATGAAGCTCAGAGAAATAGAGTGAATTTTTAAGGTCAGTTTGAACATTATTCCACAATGTTGGATATGTGCCTTGTTAAGTTGAAGAGGTTCCCCATCCCCATAACTTGTTATAATGCTCAGATGACTTGTGTCTTACACAGTGGGAATGAACCTAAGGAGGACCGCGGCATGCAAGGAGCCTGGTAGTACAACACTGAAGCACTCCGCTGCTACCTGAAAGGTTGCTGGTTCAAACTCACCAGCTGGGTGATCTGTTCCCACAAACCGTATGAGTCAAAAATACACTCCATGGCACCACCATCACCATGCAGCATGCAGGAAGGTCTCAGGGCATCACCAGGTGTCTCCTGCTCCCCCAGCTCCTCAGTTGTCATATGCATATTTTTATGACAAATTTCATCTGTTTTGTTCTCTATGGCAGATTTGACTGTTCTCTCCCAGATAGGCTCTCATTTGAATAAAGGGGTGGGAGGCTGTGGCATGAAACAGGGAGAGAAGAATGCCATGCTCTGGACTAAAGACAGAGGGGGGCTTTGGTCTTTGGTCTTTGACTCTTCTGTACCGCTTCAATTCTGTCCCTTTGAAGCCTTAGCCTTATCTCAAGTCCTGTAACATCCTTAGGCTGGCCACTATAGGATACACCAGCCTCAGACAATAGTAATGAGACTCTCCAAAGTCTTGGTACGTGTGTTAACTCATTTAATCCTTAGAGCAACTTCAGCAGGAAGTTGGGTAGGAAACTAAGGCCAGAGAGACTAAATAATTTGCCCAAGGTCATAGAACTAGTAAAGGGGAAAAGGTGATAATAAAATAAATGGGAGAGGAAAAGAGGTCAACAAGTACTGGGCTTGGGCCTGTGTGGAGCAGTGGTGCCCAGACGTCATTTGTACTGAGGGTCAGGGGCTAAGGTCTCATCTTCCAGCCCCAAATGAGGAAAATAAAGACGACATGACAAAGCTTCATTTCATCTCTCCTTTTCTGGTGGGGGACTGGGAGGAGCAGCACCATTAGAATGCCCTTTTATAAAACGCTAGTAATAGACACACCACACATCTGTCAGTTTGTCATACTGCTTGCATGTTGCTGTGATGCTGGAAACTATGCCACTGGTATTTCTAATGCGAGCAGGGTCATCCCTGATGGACAGGTTTCAGCAAAGCCAGACAAACTGGGAAGAAAGACCTGGTGAGCTACTTACGGAAACATTAGCCAGTGAAGACCTTATGGATAGCAGAGGGACACTATCCAACACAGAGTCAGAAGATGAGCCCTCAGGTTGGAAACAAAACTGAAAAGAGCAGTCTCTTCAAAGGAGAGTCGTCCTTAATGACATGGATGGAGCAAAGCTTTCAGGAACTTCATTTGCTGATGTGGCATGACTCAAAATGGGAAGAGACAGCTGCAAACATCTATTAATAAACAGAATGTGGAATGTTCAAAGTATGAATCTAAGTAAATTACAAAAAAAAAACCTCACCACTGTGGAGTTGGCCCCGACTCATAGTGACCCCTGCTTGGGTTTCTGAGGCAGTATCTCTATGGAAGTAGATTGCCCAGTCTTCCTTCCAAGGAGTGGCTGGTAAGTTTGAACCGCCAGCCTTCGGGTTAGCAGTCAAATGTCTTAGGCACTACACCAGCAGAGCTCCTCTAAGTAAGTTGGAAATCATCAAAAATGAAATGGAATTCATAAAGATTGATACCGTAGGCATTAGTGAGCTAAAATGCACTGTGTTGGCCATTTTGAATTGGACAGCCATACTATGCTGGGAATGACAGATTGAACAGGAATGATGTTGCATTCATCATCAAAAAGAACATTTTAAGATCTAGTCTGAAGTACAACGCTGTCAGTGTTAGGATAATGTCCATTAGCCTCCAAGGAAGACCAGCTAATACGACTATTATTCAAATGTATCCACTAACCACTAATGTCAATGAAGAAGAAATTGAAAATTTTCACCACCTTCTGCAGTATGAAATTGATCAAGCATGCAATCAAGATGCACTGATAATTACTGGTGATTGGAATGTGAAATCTGGAAACAAGAAGGATTGGTGGACTGAAAATAGGTTCTTTTCCCTCCAATCCTCATGACACAATTCTTCTTCAGATCAATCCAGCTTCTCAGATTATTTGCTTAGCATACAGACTGAATAAGTATGGTGGAAGGATATAACCCTGAGGCATATCTTTCCTGATTTTAAACTATGCAGTATCCCCTTGTTCTGTTCAAATGACTGCAAACAATTGCAGCAGTCTATTTACAGGAATGCAGGCTGGATTCAGAAGAGGGTGTGGAACTAGGGATATCATTGCTGATGTAAGATGGATCTTGGCTGAAAGCAGAGAATACCAGAAAGATGTTTACCTGTGTTTTATTGACTGCAAAGGGATTAGACTGTGCAGATCACAGCAAATTACAGATAACATTTTGAAGAACTGAAATTCCAGAACACTTCATTGGGCTCATATGGAACCTGTACGTAGAACAAGAGGCAGTCATTTGAACAGAACAAGGGGATACTGCATAGTTTAAAATCAAGAAAGGTGTGGTGTGCCTCAGGGTTATATCCTTTCACTATACTTAGTCTGTATGCTGAGCAAATGATCAGAGAAGCTGGACTGATCTGAAGAATTATGTCATGAGGATTGGAGGAAGATTCATTAACAACCTGGGATATGCAGACAACACAACTTTGCTTACTGAAATTGAAAAAGACTTGAAGCACTTAATGATGAAGATCAAAAACTACAGCCTTCGTCATGGATTACAACTCAACATAAAACAAAAATCTTCACAATCAGATCAATAAGCAACATCATGATAGATAGAGAAAATATTAAAGTTGTCAAGGATTTAATTTTACTTGGATCCACAGTGTTCATGGAAGCAGCAATCAAAAAAATCAAACAACGTATTGCATTGGGCAAATCTGCTACAAAAGACCTCTTTGAAGTGTTAAAACACAAAGATGTCACTTTGAGGATTAAGGTGTGCCTGCCCCCAGCCATGGTATTTTTAATCGCTTCACATACATGTGAAAGCTAGACAATGAATAAGGAAAACCAAGGAAGAATTGAACTATGTTGTTGCTTATGGTGTTGATGATGAAGAATATTAAATATACCATGGACCATCAGAAGAATGAACAAATCTGTCTCGGATGAAATACAGCTGGAATGCTCCTTAGATGAGAGAATGGCAAGGCTTCATCTCACAT